ACTACGTTTTCCCCTATTGTGCAAAGAGGCACACTCCTCATTCTCAGTTTCTGAGCTTTTTTTTTTCTCGTTTTCCAACAAGTTTGTCAACACAAAATGTTCCTGAGACTCTTGTGAGAACATCAGAGACAGATTTTGCACCTTTTCCCAACAGGGTAAACCTGACCAACAACCAATACAGATAGACTGTAGATAACAGCAGCTCCAGGTCGAATTCCCTTTAGAATCACGCCCTGTTTCGGCCTCTTCACACGCTTTTGTTTTATCATTCAACCCCATCTCCTGAAAAGAAAGTGTTGCGGGTGCGTACAGATGTGCATTGGTATAGCGCCGCCCCGGCTGATTGAGGGAAGGGAGGATAAGGGGGAGAGGGATTGAACGGCACCGAGACTCCAGGTTGGGGGTTGGACGACACACAAACGGGCAATTGGACCCACCAGGGCCTGAGCCGGCCCCCTCCATAGTGTGAGCCAATGCATTTTCCCCACTGCAAAACAGTGCGAAATGTGAGGCTTGCAGCGGGTAAACGGGGCTGAAGAGCTAGCACAGCTACGCCAGACCGAGTGGCGCCGCAAGAGCCTCAGATGACAGGCAGGTTCCAGTAACCGGGGGCAGATTACAGATCACTCAAAGGCGGAGATCTGGTAGTATCCGAGCACTCAACTGGTCACCAATGGTATTGGGGGCAGATTTATACCGGTATTGGGGGCAGATTTATACTGGTATTGGGGACGGGTCACCCCGGTATTGGGGACGAGGTTACTCTGGTATTGGGGGCAGATTTATACTGGTATTGGGGGGGAGAGACAGATTTATACTGGTGCCGGGGGTGGGGGGAGACAGATTTATACTGGTGCCGGGGGTGGGGGGGAGACAGATTTATACTGGTGCCGGGGTTGGGGTTTCGCTGTTTACGCGGACCAGCATCCAAGTGTGGGAAATGTGCGCTACCCGAGATTATGACCCGGTTTTTATGTTTAAGAAGAAGCAGAAGTTGTCCCCACTCTGTTTGGGAGATTTGCACCTCGCTCATCTCTCTGTCCCTCACACACAAAACAGGCTTTTGAATGGTTTGCACGGATACAGCCCTCTCGGTTATAAAAACCACAGGCAGACGGCTGTAAGGGGAAGTTTGTACAGAAATCTCAGAGCTGTGACCATCCTCAACTGAGCGTTACACCCCACAGGTGCAGGCCATTCGGCCCCTTGGCCCGGACTGACCTTCATTCTCCAATGGAGCCTCCTCCGGTCAAGCTAACCCTGTGCCTTCTGCCTCAGCCTCTTAAACACCTCTCTCACTGCGTCCACTCCCTCTGATAGCCTCCCACAGCTGTTCTGGCTTTCGGATGGATTTGCTGCTGGGTTGTTTTCTTTTGGTTTCTCTGCTGATATACTGTCGCTCTCCGATGAGGATTTTCAGCACGAGGAAACATTTTGTCTCATATTTAGCCAACCCAGTGTGAAACCTGCCTTGCCCTGCCGAATCACTCCTCTCTCTGCATTCCTAAAGCATCCTGCATCAAACTATCAAATCCAGGCTCAATTTTGACCATTTCAGTCCATCTCACAGACACAAGGGGGTCACTCACCAGATATCTGACACACCGTGGGGTAATCTTCACAACAGTCTCCTGTTTTCTGACAGTAAGCGTCGCAGTAGCACAGTGTCCTCCTCCCGGTCCGCTCCTGGCACCGGTTATCCCTGCCGGTACAACATTTGGGGTTTTCTCGGTGATAGCAGCCAGCGGAGACCCCCTGCAGGCACGCGGTGAGGGCCAGCGCCCCCCAGCACAGAGCCAACTTCCCCATCGCCTTCTCCCTCCCTCTCTCTCTCTCCTTTCTCGCCTCTTTCACACACCGCTCCCTTTAACCACAGGTTGATGAGTCTCTCTCTCTCGCTCACTGTGAGGGTTTGCTGCCTGTGTTACTGAGGGGTGGGGGGTAGCACAGTCCGCCCCCTGACACTGGGACAGGGGCTGTTCCTCCCTGCTGGGCTCAGTGCATTCCCAATCGCTGGGGATCCTATGAGCCAACCACACTGTAGTCTTCATTGACTCAGTGCAGACCCCTTCATCCCGCCTCTCCAGCGCAGTCTCCTATCACTGGTCCTAGCGCCCACACTCAGCGCCCAGAGCAAACCCCAAACTCCCGTCTCTCTTTGAAGAAGAATACCCGAAGTATTTTTTTTTTCTTAATTCGTTCGTGGGGTGGCAGTGGTTGTGTCCCTTGCTCTTAGCTAGGAGACCTGGGTTCAACTCCCAGCTGCTCCATTGGTCATTAGCATCTCTAAACAGGTTGATTAAGGAACAAAAAACAGGAGTTGCTGGTAAAGCTCAGCAGGTTTGGCAGCATCTGTGAAGGGAAAGAAAAGTTAATGTTTTGGGTCCGGTGATCCTTCCTCAGAACTCAAACATCATCTCAATAGGGGTTTCTATTTTAATTCCTGATACTGATTAACAGGTGACCGGACCCAAACATTAACTTTTTTTTCCCCCTTCACAGATGCTGCCAGACCTGCTGAGCTTTTCCAGCAACTTCTGTTTTTGTTCCTGATTTACAGCATCCGCAGTTCTTTCGGTTGATTAGGGAAGTTATATTCAAGGCTGATTTGAAGAATATGAGATCAGCCCTGATCCTATTGAGTGTGGATCAGACTCGAAAAGCCAATGGCCTACTCCTGTTCCTATTTCTTATAAAATATATATTTCATGGGATGTGGCTGTTGTTGCCTTTCTAATTACCCTGGAGAGGTAATTGGGAGAAGTGATGACCTCGTGGTATTATCCCTGGGCTGTTAATCCACAGACCCAGTTCTAGCGACCTGGATTCGAATACTACCATAGTCGATGGTGGAATTTGAATTGAATTCAATAAAAAAAAATCTATAATTAAGAGTTTAATAATGACCACGAATCCATTGCCAATTATTGGGGAAAAGCCCCATCTGGTTCACTAATGTCCCTTTAGGGAAGGAAACTGCCATCCTTACCTGGTCTGGCCTACAGTGGCTCCAGACCCACAGCAATGTGATTGACTCTCAATAGTTCCCTGAGACGGGTAATAAATGCTGGCCCAGCTTTCATCCACGAATGAACTTAAGAAAAACAGGGTACTGAGCTGCCTTCTTAAACCACTGCAGTCCGTGTGCTGTAGATACAGTCACAGTACTGTTCTCACAGGGTAAAAACCGAAAGAACTGCGGGTGCTGTAAATCAGGAACATACACAGAAGTTGCTGGAAAAGCTCAGCAGGTCTGGCAGCATCTGTGAAGAAAAAAAACAAAATCACAGTTAATGTTTCAGATCCGGTGACCCTTCCTCACAACCCTCACCGAAACGTTAACTCTGATTTTTTCTTCTTCTTCACAGATGCTGCCAAGACCTGCTGAGCTTTTCCAGCAACTTCTGTGTATGTTCCGGTTCTGACAATAATGTGAACAGAGTAAATAGGAGGAAAGTGTTCCCGCTGGGGCGGGGGAAGAATTTAGAACAAGATTTAACAGAATGAGCAAAAGGAGAAAAAGTGGCAGGAAGAAAATTGCTGGAGGAAAGAAACTCAGCAGATTGGGCAGCGTCCGTGGTGAGAAACAGGAGTTTACGGTTCGAGTCCGGGATGGTGGTTCTTTGTAACTTACCGGACGGGGCCCCATAGCCTCCTTATACATTGTAATAATATACATTGTAATAATACTGCAGTTTTCCATGTCGTCAAATCCAGCACAGCCGGTGACACACTTTTGAAGTGCAGTCATTTAAACTATCAACCAGCCTAGGATGTGAAATGTGAGTGTGGTGGAGGTAATTGAGACACAATGGGGTAATCATTTGAAATGGACAATATTAAGTGTAACAATATGAATTGTTACTCGTGCAGAGAGTCGGTGCAGACTGTGATGGGTCGAATGGCCTCCTTCTGCACTGTCACCATTCTGGGATCCCAGGATTTGGATCCATTTGCACGTTTTCGGTCCACTGAATCCCCCATGATGCCAGCAAAGGTGGGCGGCACGGTGGCACAGTGGTTAGCACTGCTGCCTCACAGCACCAGGGACCCAGGTTCGATTCCAGCCTCGGGTGTCTGTCTGTGTGGAGTTTGCACATTCTCCCCTTGTCTGCGTGGGTTTCCTCCGGGTGCTCCGGTTTCCTCCCACAGCAGGTTGGGTGGATTGGCCATGCTAAATTGCCCGTAGGGATGTGTAGCTTAGATGGGTTATAGGGGGATGGGTCTGGGTGGGATGCACCGAGGGTCGGTGTGGACTTGTTGGGCCGAAGGGCCTGTTTCCACACTGTAGGGATTCTATAAAAAAAAGTGGAAAGAAAATGATGAGGCTATTTCAGAACCACTGTCAAAACACTGCCTGGTCAGTTTGTGAAATCAATTGTGAAGCAGGTCCATCGATTTCTGGAGGGTTCGAGGGAATTCACGGAGGGAATCTTCCTCCAAAGGCCGGAGGGTATTTGGAATTCACTGCCTGAAAGGGTGGTAGAGCCGGAAACTCTCATAACAGTATAACAAGTCCAAAGATGTGCAGGTTAGGTGGATTGGCTATGCTAAAATTGTCCGTAAGTGTCAAGGGAACTGTAGGGTTACAGGGATAGGTAGGGGCTGGGATAAGATTCGGAGAGTCGGTGCGGGCCTCATGGTCTCTTTCTGCACCGAAAGGGTTCTATGATTCTTAATTTTAACAAGAAGCTTAAGTGTGCTGGTGAAGGGCTGTAGCTGTGAGAGTGGAAGTAGGATGAGGCTGGTTAGTTCCCTCTTGCTGAATGTGGATGTGGGAGAGTACACATAGGAGACCATCCAGCCTATCATGTCTGTACCAGCTTTTGCAGCAGGAAATTAGTATCAGAAGCCACCTGACTGGTTTATTAATCTGTGTTAGCCCCCCCCCAAGAGCTGGTGCTGGTTGAGGGACAATAATTGGATCCAGTACTACAAGTGATTACCGTCCTTCAGATAGTGCAATGGCACCTTTAGTACTGATCTAACCTGGCAATATGTCTCACAGCGCTGTAGGTAGAATGGTTCAGCGCAAAAAAAGGCCATTCTGGCCCATTGCCAGCCCTCAGAAAGGAGTTAGTTTGTGGGATCTTGCTGTGCATATGTTTGGCTGCTGTGTTTCCTACATTACAGCGGTATTTACACTTAATTGTTTGGGGGTTAAAACGTTCTGGGATATCCCAAGCTCATGACAATTACTGGAAGTCTTTCTTTCCAGCCATTCTATAGAAAGGACAGTTGTATCTTACAGATACCTCCTGCTGAGTCCTGCACTGTGTTTGAGATGTCTTACAAACTTCAGTGTTCCTCTCTGATCCAGAGAGCAATGCAACACAAACAAAGGCCATTTGGCCCATCACTGCTATACTAATACCTATCAAAAAGACCATGAGCCCCCTGATACCAACCCACAGAGTCACAGAAGTCTTAATGCACAGGAGGAGGCCATTTGGCCCATCATTCCCGCACTGGCTCTTCAAATGAGTGTCATTACCTAGAGCCAATTTCCTGTTTATGTTTCCATATTCTAGCACATTATTTTTATCCAAAATAATTATCCAATGCCCACTTTAATGCCTCAATTGATTTTGCCTCCACTACATTCCCAGGCTGTGCTGTCGGGCTGAATGGCCAACCCCGTTCCTATTTTCTCTGTTTCTATGAGTTCCAGACCCTAACTACCTCAGAGATAGTAAGAACTGCCGATGCTGGAGTCAAAGATAACACAGTGTGGAGCTGGAGGAACACAGCAGGCCAGGCAGCATCAGAGGAGCAGGAAAGCTGATGTTTCAGGTCGGGAACCTTTCTTCAGAAATGGGGGAGAGCTAGGGGGCTCGAATCCGCTCCTCCCACCTCACTGAGCAATCCTCACCACTGCCTGCCTGCACTCACCCATCACCATCCCACCTACCTTCCCCAGTCCCACCCCTCCACTCCCTAACTACCTGTTGTTTTTTTTCTCACATCAACGTTGCTTCTTTTGCATGTCACTTTAAATCCAGGAACTTCCCAGGTGGGCAACCACACTTGTTCGAGAGTGATTTCCAACCACGACTTTAAATCTACGTTCTCTCCTTCCTGTCCCTTGTATGAGTTGGAGCAGCTTCTCTCTCTCTCTGTCTCTCTCTCTACTCTAACCAGGCGCTCGTGATTTTGAAAATCTCTGTTAAATCTCCTCTCAGATCCCTTCTCTCTAGATAGAACAATCCCGAACTCGTCAACCCTGTCCTCATTACTGGATAGCACTTCCCTCTCTCACCTTTTCAGACTTACTTCCTGTGCCTGAGTCAGTTTTGTGTAACCGGCCTCTTTAGCTTACATAAAATAATCACAGGGACCCCATGAACCAATTCAGCGGAACTTTCAAGTATGAACAAAATAACCGCACAGGGACGAGGGTAGCATTAGTTAAGCTGACATTTAATTGTTTTTTCAACCTGCCCAGAGATATTACTACACACCTCTGGAGCAGATAGGACTTGAAGCCAGAGATAGTAGGAACTGCAGATGCTGGAGAATCTGAGTTAACAAGGTGCAGAGCTGGATGAACACAGCAGGCCAAGCAGCATCAGAGGAGCAGAAAGGCTGACGTTTCGGGCCTAGACCCTTCTTCAGAAAATCCATTCTTACATTTTCTGAAGAAGGGTCCAGACGTCAGCTTTCCTGCTCCTCTG